CTGCCCAAACTAATCACACCACTGCCCAAACTAAACACATCACTGCCCAAATTAAACACCACTGCCCAAATTAAACACCACTGCATAAATTAAACACCACTGCCCAAACTAAACACACAAATACCATCACAGAGCTAATTACCACCCACACCGACACATAGACACTATCCACACTGACCTATCCACTACCCACACTGATCAAGCCACTACCCACATTACTATCTACCCTCATGGACCTACCCACTACCCACACTGACCTAACCAGCCCCCACACTGGCCTCACCAACACCCACACTGACCTAAACAACACCCATGCTGCAAGAATCCTGTGTACCTACATACGACTGTGTGAGAAGGACTTCTACTAGCAGCATCCTCCTGCTTCAAACAACCCAGCTAAGGATCTGTACAAGATGAAAACATTTTCTGTCTATAGGCTGCTGTTACTTTAATGACAATACTGTAGTGTCACTAGAAAAATTTGACTAAGATAATGATAGATTCACCACACACAATTTAACCATGGACAAATAGAGGCTTAAATGTCATTAATGGACATTTTAAACATTAAAAACAATTTGCTCGAAAACAAATTTTTCCGATATTTTGTTTTGTTATGTGTTGTCCATTAAGATATTTAATGTTTGACTAAAACAGTCGATAGATTAAATAGTTTTGTCCTGAAATGTTTTGTATCAGATATTTTGTCATGATATTTGTCCGATATATATTTTTACCCGCTTTATTTTGTCATATATATAATATGTCATATATTTATATGGGTATTATTTACACTAGATTTTCCCCCCGATATATTTTGTTCTATAGCTTTGTTGTGGCAACGATTCGTCCAATCAAGCTTTGATCACACCAGTAAAATGTTGATCAGGCAATTAGCGAGACCCGGATCACGTGACATCGCGGGTATGGAACATATCCAGAATCGAATGTGTCGGGGATATGTGGGGGAACTCGCAGTGCAGAATTCTGCTGCAAAGGGCGGTAATCCATTTGTCTGTACACTGTAGCAGGCAGTACCTGTGCTGTGTGTAGCAACAATTTGTGTGCTGCTCATGTTGTGAAAATAGCGTGTTCACACTTTTCTGGCCTGATGATGTGTTAGTTTACTGTTTTACAAAATGTGTTTTAGAATTCTGTTTTTTGCAAGACTGGATAACCAAATTTCACAATGTAAAATAATAAGGACATCTGAGGTAGAGGTAAACTAATAAAGATTACTTCCTAAATAGATTCGTATTTATTTTATTGAATGTTTGTTTATTATTTGTTAAGTTGTAAATATACTAAGTAATTGACTAAGTAAACAGTAATAATCAATGGTCAGCTTAAGTACAGTCAAGATGATTCTTAGAATCTTAGTCATTTGTATTTTTAAGTTCGGCATATACATAAATAAAAATGTGCATATATATTTATAATTTATACAGACACACACACACACACATATATATATATATATATATATATATATATATATATATATATATATATATATATATATATATATATATATATATATATATATATATATACTTTGTATTATAAACAAATTATAAACAAGAACAAATTATGCTCCCGTTAAACTTTAAACTTCCAACATTATGAGAAAAATAGTGTTTTGAAGCGACCCGTTAACCGCAGTTAAAAATGTTGGCAAGCTCCTGGCCTACGGCTACATCCTGTCTGTAATGTAAACCCTGCTCTCCCCTCCCTGTTTTAACATACTCATACGTTCTGAGTGCCGAGAGATGAGCACAGGCGTATAATTGTTTAAAGCATAGTTTAATATATATTTTTTAATATTACGCATATAAATTTATTTGGTTTGATTTTAGATATGCGACATTATACATAACTGTTTTAAATATTCAAATACATTTAGAACAATAAATAGTATTTATTTATCTTACTTATAAATATAAATCCATTATATATATATATATATATATATATATATAAATCATTTATATATTTTTTATATGTATATATATATATATATATATATATATATATATATATATATATATATATATATATATATATATATATATCAAGTTGACAGTACACTGCCGGCAATGTTAACGGGGTTTGCTGTATACCATATGCAGATTGTTGATTTGATGAAGGATCAGTTTTACATACAGCAGACCCTATCTCGCAATTTATCAGTCTGTGGACAAGATGAACGTTTGGAAATGTCTGCTTTATTTATCATCTCACGATTGTTATCCCCATTATGGCGTGCTTGTAAAGTGAAAGATAAACGTATAAAAATAAAATGCACCACCCTTATCGGTCTACAACCCCATGATACGCCAAAACACGAGCAGTGTTTCGTCCAGACTTTTTTCTCCGAGGGGGGGGGGGCACTTGAAATTTTAGGGGGGGGGGGGCGGTAAACTTTCTTCGGGGGGGGGGCGGACACTGTTAAAAGTATATATTTTCTATATAAATTATATAAATTTCATTTCGTTCGGGGGGGGGGGGGGGGGGGGGGGGCGGTAAATTTTTTTTTTTTTGCCCCCCCCCCCCCCCGAAGAGATGCCTGGAAGGAACTCTGAACACGAGCACGGCATGAAGTATTTAACCAGTTGTTGTTAGGGTTAGACTAAATACAGGGTTATCTCCCCTTGTGAATTATGTTGTCTCTGGTTCACTCGCGCCTATGATTCTCTCCCTTCTCCTGTTCTCCATTCCTCTTGTTCTCCCCTTCTCTTCTTCTCTCCCCTCTCTTGTTATCTCCCTTATCTTGTTCTCTCCTCTTGTTCTCTCCCTCCTCTTGTTCTATCCTTTCTCTTGTTCTCTCCCTTCTCTTGTTATCTCCCTTCTCTTGTTATCTCCCTCTCTTGTTATCTCCCTTCTCTTGTTCTTTCCCTTTTTTTTTCTCCCTTTCTCTTGTTCTCTCCTCTCTCTGGTTTCCCTTCTTTTGTTCTCTTTATTCTCTGGTTCCCTCCTTTCCATTATTCACTCCCTTCCCAATGACTCACTCAATTGTTTACAATCTATTTTTGTGTGGCTAAATATAGGAAACAAACAGCTGAACATTTAAATAAAGTTATCCATAACTTTAGGTATAATTTGGAGGGAATGTGATACATTGTACAAACAAATTTGTATTTTAGTTACTAATTGTGTGAAAAAAATGTATATAAAAAACAAAGAAACTAAATGTCATTAAACATAAACATTTAAATCCAGCTGATAGCGAGCAGAGAAGTTCATTAAGACTTGAAATTTTGCTTCATTCAAGCGCGTAAGACAAAAACATTGGACTTCATGAATGTTGGCGTTTCAAGTTTGCAGTTGATTGAGATAAAGGGATTAGCTCTAGTTTTAAGCTAGGAGATATGTTTAAAACTATGGTAATCACAGGAATTAGCTCTAGTTTTAAGCTAGGAGATATGTTTAAAACTACGGTAATCACAGGGATTAGCTCTAAATTTAAGCTAGGAGATATGTTTAAAACTACGGTAATCACAGGGATTAGCTCTAAATTTAAGATAGGAGATATGTTTAAAACTACGGTAATCACAGGAATTAGCTCTAGTTTTAAGCTAGGAGATATGTTTAAAACTACGGTAATCACAGGGATTAGCTCTAAATTTAAGCTAGGAGATATGTTTAAAACTACGGTAATCACAGGGATTAGCTCTAAATTTAAGATAGGAGATATGTTTAAAACTACGGTAATCACAGGAATTAGCTCTAGTTTTAAGCTAGGAGATATGTTTAAAACTACGGTAATCACAGGGATTAGCTCTAAATTTAAGCTAGGAGATATGTTTAAAACTACGGTAATCACAGGGATTAGCTCTAAATTTAAGCTAGGAGATATGTTTAAAACTACGGTAATCACAGGAATTAGCTCTAGTTTTAAGCTAGGAGATATGTTTAAAACTACGGTTATCACAGGAATTAGCTCTAGTTTTAAGCTAGGAGATATGTTTAAAACTACGGTAATCACAGGGATTAGCTCTAAATTTAAGCTAGGAGATATGTTTAAAACTACGGTAATCACAGGGATTAGCTCTAAATTTAAGCTAGGAGATATGTTTAAAACTACGGTAATCACAGGAATTAGCTCTAGTTTTAAGCTAGGAGATATGTTTAAAACTACGGTTATCACAGGAATTAGCTCTAGTTTTAAGCTAGGAGATATGTTTAAAACTACGGTAATCACAGGAATTAGTTCTAAATTTAAGCTAGGAGATATGTTTAAAACTACGGTAATCACAGGGATTAGCTCTAGTTTTAAGCTAGGAGATATGTTTAAAACTACGGTAATCACAGGGATTAGCTCTAAATTTAAGCTAGGAGATATGTTTAAAACTACGGTAATCACAGGAATTAGCTCTAGTTTTAAGCTAGGAGATATGTTTAAAACTACGGTAATCACAGGAATTAGCTCTAGTTTTAAGCTAGGAGATATGTTTAAAACTACGGTAATTACAGGAATTAGCTCTAAATTTAAGCTAGGAGATATGTTTAAAACTACGGTAATCACAGGGATTAGCTCAAGTTTTAAGCTAGGAGATATGTTTAAAACTACGATAATCACAGGGATTAGCTCTAGTTTTAAGCTAGGAGATATGTTTAAACTACGATAATCACAGGGATTAGCTCTAGTTTTAAGCTAGGAGATATGTTTAAAACTGCGGTAATCACAACTGTATGGTACCGTATGGTGGGGTGGTAGAGCCTACCTTTACTAACCTGAAAGTCTCGAGTTTGGAGTCTGTAGGACGTACCTGAGTCCACCCAGCTCTAATGTGCTCTTGACTCACGGTAGAGAAGCAGTAGTGGCTGGTATTGACCACACTATTCCCTCTTATACCGAGGTTATTGAAACAGATTAACTGTACTTCATCAGCCCTAAGTGTTTTGGGCACGAACAGGGAAAAACGATGAATCACAATTGTGTAATTGTAAATCTGCATCAATCTAATTATTTTCTAATACACTTTTTTTCCATAGCTAAATCAAGATTACAAGCACATCGCTACAATCTGTCAAGGCTAACGTGCTAGAAAACCATTATAAATTACTTTGATTTACTGCTGAGGATCTGAAGATGTAAAAATAAATGTCGTAAATTGGCAACGGGTAACCCAGTTCTACAATGGATCCAACAAATGTAACCTTGGATTTCTTCAACGGGTCCACCTATGGGACCCAGTCAGTCGGGGACTCCTGCAATGTCACTAGCACCGACCTTGACCTTACCTGTAACATGATGAACGTCACCATGAGCGTCCTGGGCGATGAGGAATTTACATTGGTCTTTCGTAGGGGAGATGAATCTGGCGAACTAGAAGAGTAAGTCAGTACCTTGGTATATCTGAATGTTACCGTTCGTCTAAAAATATTCTGTCAGTTTTACAGGATTTAGACGTATGTCTCAAACACCAAGGTTCAGGACATATTTGGATAGAACCTTACAGAATCAATATTTTAGAAACCTAATTATTACAAAATTATTTTCTTAATATAAGTAAAAAAAATGTAAAAGCCATAATTTAATTTTTTTCTTTCTTTTGAAATGTCAGGCTCTTTGGTAAAAATAACAAAAACAAAACAAAAACGTTCATTTATAAGTTTATTTTATTTCCAGGCTTGAAGAAGCAAGAAAACTAAACAGCATCAACTCCTATATTCGAACCTACTACCTGTACGTGCTCTGTTTTCTCGGCGTGCCTACTAATGTGATGACCGTCATAACAATCCTAACGATGCAGGCCATGAGTCCAGCCACCTTCTACGTCGCTACATTGGCATTCTGCGACGGCAGCGCGTTGGTATGCAAGCTCCTGCTCAACCAGCTAACAGAACGAAAAGTGAATATCGGTACTGTTGGGTGTGTGGCCGAATTCCTGCCCATGTACCTGTCGTCCCTGGCCAACTGGGTACTGGCCCTCATATGCACGGAGCGGTTCGTCTCAGTCTGCTACCCGCTCAAGAAAAGCTACATCTTCACCAAACGGAGGAGCTACATCAGCATTGGTGTCACATCTTTTGTTCTTCTTGTTCCTTTCTTAGGAGTTTTTGCTGTAATGCGCGATTATACCCATAAGGAAATGTTGTGCTCGACCAAGTCAGAATATCAGTGGTTTTGGACGTATGTCTTTTTCTGGATGCAAGCTATCCTGATTGTGTTTTTTCCATTTGTCGTGATATTCATCTCCACGTGCGCTATTGTCAGAGGACTACGACTGTCAAGAAAAGCGCGACGGACAATCTTAAGAAATTCCATCGTTAAAAATCCTCACAGGAAACACGAGATGACTAACGCCAACAACGAGAGACTTGTTGCCGAGACGGAGCGAGCTGAGAGGAATATCACCGCCATGATGGTTCTCGCTGCCGTTCTCTTCCTCATCCTCGCTCTACCTTCATGTGTATATTTTGTCAGTCTGAGAGAAATTCCAGAAAGCCAAGACCTCTCTAAAGCCAAATGGGGACTCTTTAAAGAAATCTCGTACGTGCTAATGGACTCCAATCATGCCATCAACTTTTTCCTTTACTTTTTCACGGCCAAGAGGTTCAGGAAACAGTTCTTTAAGCTGGTCAAGTGTAGGACGCTGCGCAAGTGGTACACCAGACGACACGCCTCATCGTATCCAACCAACTTCTCTACCACCATCAGCCGAGTCAACCACAGCATCACAGATGTACAACACGTCAAGGAAAAGAAGAGGATTAAGAATTTCGCACACACCATATAAGCCAAGTTTTCCCCTCACTACCTACCTTGTTTCAATACTGATCGTGTTAGGAAACCTAACTTAAAACTTCAGACCTATCTCTTGAACAAGGCATAAGTTACATTAGTTTTTCTCTATGTATCTGACATGCAAATATTATCTTCAAATGTCAATTTTGATGGATTTGGCCAGAAAGTGAGGCATAACTGATCTCAACCATGAATATTATATTTCTTTCTAAAATCTCCCTTTTATCGAACATTGGGATCTATGTTGTGAAATTTGTTAGCTAAATAATTTACCATGCTCACCTGCTTTAATATTTAGGAGCCGGCCCGCGGCATAACATACGCCGCTATTTAGTTGTTTCTAATTTTCAATAATTCATAATTTGTGAATTCGACAGTACCACTGAAAATATTTCTTTAAAACACTATAAGTAGCTCGTTAAGGACCATAACCCCCCCCCCCCCCTTCCTTCCCCCCCCCCCCCTCCCCCCCCCCCTACGTTTAAAATCGTTGGCTCTGCTTGTAAACATTTAGAGTGAACACAGCTCACTAAAACCATGTAGGGGTGGGGAGGTAGGGAGAGCGTTTGCAGCTTGTTTTCTAACGGCTCGAAGAAGAGAATTATATATATAGATACCATTCATGTTTAGCATCTGATTTTTATTTGAAACGAGTCATCATGAAATTTATCTTTATTTTGAGACGGATCTTATACAGATTTTTATCATCTAACTGGTTCTAAAGTATAACATTTGTGAGAATGTTATAAATATAACAAGACGACTCATGCAATGTACACCAATGTGGCTGAACTGACTGCCATTAAATTAAATACATTTCTTAAAGTAATTTTTTTTTTTAAATTCTGTGCAACAGCTGCTAGAGTGTTTGGCAGATTAAGAGACACGCGATATTTTTAAATTACGTATGCACATGTTTTATTTTATTTTGAAATTAACAATTAAATACATATTGTAATATCTCTACATGCTATAAGATTTTTTTCAATGGTGTTAAATCATTACATTTATATTCGGTTGAGTATTTTACCCAAGTTTTAAAATGGGTGATTGGGTTCAACTGCATAATGCAAATACTGAACTCGTTCTCTGATGTCATTTTAAATGAGTAAACATGTTACGAGCACAAAGCTATTTTGATTAATCTGCAAATCAATTTTACATTAGTTTCTAATGGATAAAAACATAATTGATTGATGGTGTATTTACATACATTAGACATACAAACATACATAATGACGTAAAAACATGTTTGTTAAATAAAATTTATAATTTAGACACCAGTCGATGAAACAATTAGTGTTGTCACATTTTGCCCTACGTACGTCCATTACTCTTGCTTCTTGGGTGGTCGCCTTTTGCCCAAAGTAGGGCAATCAATCTTGCTCCACTGGTGGTCACCTTTTGTCCCAAGTAGGGCCACCAATCTTGCTCCACTGGTGGTCACCTTTTGCCCCAAGTAGTGCCACCAATCTTGCTCCACTGGTGGTCACCTTTTGCCTTAAGTACGATTACTAAATCTGGCACCCTGGGTGGTAACCGTTTATCCCAAGTACGGCCACCAACCTGACACCCATTTTGACCACCACCCGAGCGACTTTGACGTCATGTTTTCCCTAGAGGTCCCCCGCCAGGTCCACAGGACGATTGAACAGTACAGCAAATATTTACCATCTGTTTGTTGTGGAGGTTTGAACATGTCTGACGTGATGCATATATCTGTGTGTAGTTAAAATATTTACCATCTGTTTGTTGTGGAGGTTTGAACATGTCTGACATGATGCATATATCTGTGTGTAGTTACATTATCTGGCGTTGAGGGACTCGACACTAGATACATATATACAATGCTATACATGCTGAACTTTATATTGTAACCGACATATTACATCAAATATTTTTTAATTACGTTTTTTAAACCAATAAATTAAAATATTTTAACCAACACTATTTAGGACGATCAATATTTATACCACACATTTTTTTAAATCACAATCTTTTAAAGTGCTTATTCTGATAATATTATAAACTTTGACAAACATGTTATTTGATTATTGACGAACTTTATTCCGCCGAGATTTCTGATCTCTAAATGTGGTTGGATTTAATAACAGGAGACCACTTTAAGAATTAACATTTATTTTTTAAATGTAGATGTAAAGAAAAATCATTAAATTCTAAATTGTTGGCAATACTGATTAATTATTTTAAAAAAGGTACAACTTGATTGTATATCAAGTCGTTGTAGAAATCCTTTGTTATAAATAAACACATTTCAGATTCATCTAACTGGTTGTTGCTGTTGTTAATCTTTTAGAAAAAGAAGGTTGTTAAGTAAAAAAGATTTTTTTAATTACATCTATACATTTAGCAGACGTAACAAAAATTCCTAAACTAACATTTGGCATTTTGCGATTTCTCTAGGAGATTAAATTATTTTTATCATAATAAAGTGCGAAATTGCTCAGAAAGAAAGTATGACAGAAACATATTTCTATGTAAATTAAGCACACGTGCTCAGATAATGTAAGCTCAATTAATTGTTTCATTGTTACAAAGTTGATTAAACATTTTTTTCTGATATTATAGGCTATACGTCTGCTAAATTCCAAACACAGTATAAACATTTGTCGAGATTAGAGTTTACATCATTACGGACGCTGTCGCATTTTTTTTTTAAACAAAGGTAAATTTTATGTTCATCAACCAAAGTAAGCAGTGTCTAGGTTTATAAGTTTTGATCGCCTTTGCTACATGCAATAGTATGTTAACCATTTGAGTTAATAAAACACTCCAATTAATACGATTCATAAAATCGTGGATGTAAATGAGCATGTATCTTAATGTGTGTATCTTAATATGTGTGCATGATTTATTTAGACAATGCGTGTGTGTGTGTGTATCTCATGGTGTGTGCATGATTTATTTAGACAGTGTGTGTGTGTGTGTGTATCTTAATATGTGTGCATGATTTATTTAGACAATGCGTGTGTGTGTATATAAAGGTGTGTGCATGATTTATTTAGACAGTGCGTGTGTGTGTATCTTAAGGTGTGTGCATGATTTATTTAGACAGTGCGTGTGTGTGTATCTTAAGGTGTGTGCATGATTTATTTAGACAGTGCGTGTGTGTGTATCTTAAGGTGTGTGCATGATTTATTTAGACAGTGCGTGTGTGTGTATCTTAAGGTGTGTGCATGATTTATTTAGACAGTGCGTGTGTGTGTATCTTAAAGTGTGTGCATGATTTATTTAGACAGTGTGTGTGTGTGTGTATCTTAAGGTGTGTGCATGATTTATTTAGACAGTGTTTGTGTGTGTATCTTAAGGTGTGTGCATAATTTATTTAGACAGTGCGTGTGTGTGTATCTTAAGGTGTGTGCATGATTTATTTAGACAGTGCGTGTGTGTGTATCTTAAAGTGTGTGCATGATTTATTTAGACAGTGTGTGTGTGTGTATCTTAAGGTGTGTGCATGATTTATTTAGACAGTGCGTGTGTGTGTATCTTAAAGTGTGTGCATGATTTATTTAGACAGTGTGTGTGTGTGTGTGTATCTTAAGGTGTGTGCATGATTTATTTAGACAGTGTGTGTGTGTGTGTATCTTAAGGTGTGTGCATGATTTATTTAGACAGTGCGTGTGTGTGTATCTTAAGGTATGTACATGATTTATTTAGACAGTGCGTGAGTGTATCTTAAGGTGTATGCATGTGCCAGATCTTACACTGCCCACCAGAAATTTATACGTAGAAGAGATGGGCATATACATTTACCGTAATATCTAGAAGTCATGCCTTATGTTCTTTTAGTGTATTAAACACATTACAAACTTAATTCAATGAATTTCAGATTATCTGCAAGTTCAATGGATTGGGTGTTCTCCGGATGTATGACGTAGGTGTAGTTAAACTTGTAAGTCCCGTTTACAAAAAAAGCGTAGTCGCTTCCCCTTACCAGTATGGACAGCTCAAACTCCGTGTTCACAGGGAAGAGGAACGGATCAAAAGCGATATTTTTCTTGCCGACATAGTTATTATTAACCATGGAGCTGAGCTTCAGCATTTGGTAGTAGCGAATTGGACCAGTACTAATGATTCCTGCATAATCAGAGACTAAGGACAAAGGAATATTCTTGTCGTCTTGCCGCATTAGAAGTTTGAAACCGTCCATGCTGGTCATAATCCCTCGCACAACAACCTTCGGAAAGAAAATAAAGGAATCGATTTTTCAGAAAGATTTATAAGATTAATTAATTGGGGTTAGTGTTGTCATACATTACGGTTTGATTTCTTTTATTCTTACGGTAGGTCTAAGGATATTATAAATGTGTATTATACTATGTTTAAATTTAGATTAATACGTTCTATTACATTTCAAAAATTACCCCCGTCACAACTGTATAAAGTGCACTTACGAAAATTTAAGCCCCGCCACTTGACTTATTTCAGTGACTAGACATTTAAATATTTTAAATAATATAATTATATAAAAACAACGCCTCTAGGGTTAGTGTTTTGGGTTGGGTTACGGTTTAAGATGGGTCAAAGAACAAGAATTGCTTTGGGGTTAAATGACTATAAACTGTGGGGTGAGCAAGATATGATATTGGGTTGCGCAGTGAAGCCGATATACCGTTTCCGAACTGGAATCTGTGTCGTCTAGTTACTAAAAAGGAAAATTAAATGATGTTCTTTAAATATATAATAATGTCCTACTTTTAAAAAATATTATTAAAGTAAAAGCGTGAGTAGCTTTTTAAATTCTAGTAAAGGTACTTCTTACACAATATAGTTATTTTAGTTATTTACATATCACCTCAATATATATTTAAAGAAAACCATTTTTTCTCATTTTTAGTGCATTATTACATATAAGCTTGTTATTAAAACAATTTAGTATAAAATATATAGATAGATTGGTGACAAAAACACTACCAAATATATCTTTTGATTACAGTTACAGTTTACTATAATAGATTGACGACAGAAGCCTGTGGTTGTATATAACAC